TAGTGAACCATAAGTGGTCATGTAGGTAGCATATGACCTATAGAGATATTATCTCTTGCACCTTAGTAATTAGTTTAACTATGAAGGCATTACTACTACCATGCTATCTACCACTCAATAGAGAGCATTCTATAAGTGCTCTTACAGTAATAATATGAAAATAGTCCAAGGCCTGAAAACAGAAGACTGAAAATAATTAAAGCAAGAGTTTAAGGCATTACACAGCTTAATCCATTACAACCATGTTATGGTGGTAATATATTAAATATTATATTATATTTAATCATTCTTCTTCTCAAGTAACTACATGCATGTAAGATGTAAAATATAGGCATAATCACATGGTACCAACACAGAGGCAGTGTTAGTAAGATTTGATATAGTGCTAATGAGAAATGTATGGTGTCCACATTAGGACGGACCCTAATACTGTACCTATTATCTACTATTGTTTATTATTATAGAGTTTTAAGTCAAATTAGATGAGTGTAAATGCCCTGATACTACAGGTTGCTCTAGATGGCGTTATTTATTATTTGTATGGTCACAGCAATACCCTTCACTATGTACTAGTGAATCATACACTAATATACAAGTCAAGGAGGTATAAACCACTGCTATAAAAGCATACATATCTGGAAAAAAGACACACAATAAAATTTAGAACTTATTGAATGGTAGGATCTATCTCCATTACATCTTCATCAGCATTACACACAAAATTCGACTTAACTTCTTTCACTATTTTTTCTGCAGATCTGCGCTGAGTCTGCGCTGCTCTCGCTCGTCTCCGGGACTCAATGATGGCTCTTCGCACATAATCATCCTCCTCTGGAACAGTCAGAGATTTGGGATCCCTGTAGAGGACCAATTCGTTGTTCTGAGGTTGTGTATCAACAGTCAATAACTTCGGCAAAGTCCCCAACTTGGCTCCGATTTCGGGCAAAAAGGTGATTGAGTACTCCTGAGCATCAGAATCTGCTAGCTCAGAATCAAGATCATGAATGTATATTGTATGCTTAGTGTCATCCAACATCATCCGCTCAGTCGTATCAAATGGATTTGACTGAATTGGAGATGTACCCCCACCACATATCTGAGGTGTGCCAAACAAACGCGGTTCTAGATGAGATGAGAGTCTTAGTCTATGACTATACGTCGAAATTCGAGCGCCGATGTTGATGGATGATGACTCGAAGTGTTACTGGACAAACATACCTATTTGCAGCCGCCCGAACTTCTTTGCCAGAGGTTGGTCACCATCAGGATCATTTTCTGCGGGTCGCTTTTTCCCGTGCTTGGGTGCCTCACTCATCAGGAACTCACACCACCCACCACCACCAAGATACGACATGCGCCAAAGAATATGATCGGTCAAGTATTCTTTTGGAGATTAAGAACAGTCATTAGTATCCACTTTCTTTAGTCTGAAAAGAATCAAGGAATCATCGACATTTTCACTTGATGCGAATCTCCAGAGTAATGAGAAACGGGGATATGGCCTTGAGTCATCCGCCGTTACCGTTTAGGTCAAACCCCAGAAGATTCTACCACTTTCACACTACTCATACCCCAGAACAAAATCAACTCCATACGAACTATCGACACTTCAGAATGACTTCAGACTCTGAAGGCAGTCCATTATGGACTGCCAAACGCGTTCGCGACACATTCCTTGATTATTTCAGACAAAATGGCCATACATTCGGTACGTTTTTGGAGTTTTTGACGGCTCTTTATCAATCAACTGACAATGTTAAGTTCCATCTTCTCCTGTCGTACCCCTCTCGGATCCAACATTGCTCTTCACAAATGCTGGAATGAATCAGTTCAAGTCCATCTTCCTGGGCACTGTGGATCCGCAATCTGATTTTGCAAAACTGAAAAGCGCAGTAAATTCTCAGAAGGTCACTCTCTAACCCTCTTTGATGTCAAAACTGGTCACTAAAAATGAATGGCAGTGCATTCGTGCTGGCGGGAAACACAATGTAAGTTAGACATGTGGTTCGAGAGGCAAGGTAACAGAGTCTGACAGAGGTGAATACAGGATTTGGACGACGTGGGAAAGGACAGTTACCACCATGTGAGTCAAGTTTGCCATGGTCAAGTCAAGGACCCGGACGCTAACGAGGGATTTTAATGAATGAGTAGACTTTCTTCGAGATGCTTGGAAACTGGAGCTTTGGCGACTATTTCAAGGAAGATGCAATCCGGTACTCTTGGGAACTTTTGACGAAGGTTTACGGTTTAGACCCCCAACGCCTCTATGTCACCTACTTTGAGGGTCACGAAGAGGGTGGACTCGAACCTGACCTAGAGGCAAAAGCTCTATGGAGAGCTGCGGGTGTTCCAGAGGATCATATCCTTCCAGGAAACATGAAGGACAATTTTTGGGAAATGGGCGACCAGGGCCCTTGTGGGCCCTGTAGTGAGATTCATTATGATCGGATTGGCGGTCGCAATGCTGCTCATCTTGTCAATCAAGATGATCCCAACGTTCTTGAAATATGGAACAACGTGTTCATTCAGTATAATCGCGAGTCTGATCGGTCTTTGAGGCCTCTGCCAAATAAGCATGTCGACACTGGAATGGGATTCGAGAGATTAGTCTCAGTGCTTCAGGACAAATCGTCCAATTATGATACGGACGTGTTCTCTCCGCTGTTCAATGCTATCAAGAACATCACCGGAGCCCGGGAATATCGAGGAATGTTTGGTGCCGATGATTCTGATGGCATCGACACGGCTTATCGTGTTGTCGCGGACCACGTCCGAACATTGACTTTCGCCATCTCAGATGGCGTGACGCCAAACAGTGATGGTCGTGGATATGTTGTTCGACGTGTTTTGCGCCGAGGTGCTCGCTATGCTCGAAAATACTTCCAGGTTGAGATTGGAAATTTCTTCTCGAAAATTGTCCCAACACTCGTCGAACAACTCGGAGACATGTTTCCCGAGTTGAAGAAAAAGCAGCACGATGTCATGGAAATATTGGATGAGGAAGAGATCTCGTTCGCCAAGACCTTAGATCGCGGTGAGCGACAGTTCGAGAACTATGCTCAGCAAGCAAAGATCAAAGGCGATGACAAGCTTCATGGTGCTGACGTTTGGCGCCTGTATGACACATTCGGTTTCCCGGTTGACTTAACCCGTCTCATGGCGGAAGAGCGTGGGTTGAATATTGATGACCTCGAATTCGAAGAAGCGCGTTTGAGAGCCAAGGAGGCTAGTAAAGGACAGAAGAAGTCGGCAACAGGAACCGTCAAACTGGACGTTCACGACCTGGGAAAGCTGGAGAAAATGAATGACGTTCCCAAAACAGACGACAGCGCCAAATTTGGAAAGGGTAACATTACCGCTGAAATCAAAGCGATTTACCACGGAAAGAACTTCCATTCATCGACGGCGCAGATACCAGATGGGGAACAGATAGGCATCATTCTGGACCGCACGAATTTTTACGCTGAACAAGGTGGACAAGAGAACGATACCGGTAGAATCATCATCGACGGACGGGCTGAGCTAGAAGTTGGTGATGTTCAGCTTTACGCTGGCTATGTCCTCCATACTGGCTTCATGAAGTACGGTTCTTTCTCAATCGGTGACGCCGTCCTGTGTGAATACGATGAGCTTCGTCGCTGGCCCATCCGAAATAATCATACGGGCACACACATCCTCAACTTTGCGCTCAGAAGGGTTCTTGGAGATTCTGTCGAGCAAAAGGGCTCCCTTGTTGCTGCTGAAAAACTCAGGTTTGATTTCTCTCACAAGTCTGCAGTCACAGAGAAAGAATTAGAGAAAATCGAGGAAATATCAACCGAGTATATCCGCCAAAACTGTGATGTCTACTCCCAAGAAGTTCCTCTTGCAACTGCTCGCCAGATCTCAGGTGTTAGAGCTGTCTTCGGCGAGACGTACCCTGATCCTGTCCGAGTCGTTTCTGTTGGGGTGGAGGTGGAGGAGATATTGAAGAATGTGGAAGATCCTCGCTGGCTTGAAGTCAGCATAGAATTTTGTGGCGGAACTCACGTCCAGAAGACCGGAGACATTAAGGACTTAATCATCCTAGAAGAAAACGGCATTGCTAAGGGGATTCGTCGGATCATCGCTGTGACTGGGGAGGACGCCCATGAAGTACAGCGAGTTGCCAAAGAATTCGAGAAGCGCCTAGATCGCCTGGATGCAATGGCTTTGGGGCCGCAGAAAGAACAGGAAGCCAAGCAGATACAGGTTGAACTGAACCAACTCTCGATCTCTGCTGTCCAGAAATCTCGTTTCCGAGAGCGTTTTGCGTCTATTAACAAGCAAGTCATTGACGGACAAAAAGCGCAACAAAAACTCGAGACAAAGAAGGCGCTTGAGGCGATCATTTCATACTTCGAATCCCCGACGAACGAAGGGAAGACCTGTTTGGTTACCAGGCTTCCTATTTCTGCGAACGCGAAAGCCGTGAGCGAGTCGCTAAACTATGTTAAGTCTAAGTTGCAAGACAAGACCGTCTATGTTCTAGCCGGCGATTCGGAACAGGGCCGCGTTGCCCATGGTTGCTACGTTTCAAAGGTGAGCCTTCCCTCGTGTTTCACATATGGTCCGGAAGTCAAGTCTCACGAGATCGTCTATTGTAGGCATTGCTTGACCAAGGGGCCTCGGCCAACGACTTGGCTGCGGTTGTTTCTAGCGTTGTCGGAGGGAAAGCTGGTGGGAAGGGTTCGACGTCTATCGGCAATGGCGTGCATCCGGACAAGATCGAGGATGCAATTGCATTGGCTTCGGATTACTTGGCAAAGTTTAAGCTTTGAGGGTTCTGTGCGACTGAGTTTCGCTGGCTGGTTTTACCCCTGCAATCAATGGCGAACCTGAAACTTGAGGTTTAGATGCCCTTACCGTCGAGCTTGAAACAAACTGTATTTGAAAACAGGTTGAGTACGAGCTAATTATCTTTATGGTTATCATCCTACTTTAGGATCGGAAAAAAAGCACGGACTTAGACCAGAACACCCTCACATCTCTCCGCATTGTGTAATGATCACATCTTGGCTTGGCTTGTCCCTAATTGTGCGTGTATTTTCGATCATCCGCACGATATCCATGCCATCCACTACCTGCCCAAACACGACATGCTTCCCATTCAAGAATGGAGTCGCTGTAGTTGTTATGAAGAACTGGCAGCCATTTGTATTTGGCCCAGAGTTCTGTAGCACTCAGCACCATCCACAACTCAACGGTACCCGGGTCAACTTACAGCCATGCTTAAGAGACCTGCGCGGTCGTGCTTCAAGACAAAGTTCTCATCTGGGAATTTGGGGGTGCCATAAATGGTACAAGATCCTGTTCCATCTCCATTGACAAAATCGCCTCCTTGTATCATAAAATCTTTGATCTTGAAAGCGGTTTCGGATCAGCTTTCTGCGCCGATACGAAGGACTGTAGACATACTACTCGGTGGAACTTGCTGTTCTTGTATCCTTGTGGCTTTCCTTGGGAGTTTTTGCTTTCACCTGTGCAGAATCTGCGGAAATTTTCGGCTGTCCGAGGAGTGACATCTGCGAATAACTCCATTTTCATGCGGCCTAGCGGCTCGCCTATTGCGACTGAATGTCAGTAACGGGATCATGGTAGACAGAAATTTGGACCTGATCAACCGAGATAATCTAAATATGCTAGCAGACATGTCAAGAGGGGCACAATGGCTGGGTGCAAGTAATAACACCTCCACATTCTGGTATGGGCTGAGATAGAAGATCAGTTACTGGAAGCTCACCTCCTAGGGCTATGTCGAAAAAAACGATTGGATTGGTGTCCGTCGCTGGACCTGGGTGAATATCTTCCATTTTGATGTGACGGAAACGCGACTTGTGGAATGATTTATAAATACTGATATTTCTGTTTTAAAGTGGTTTAACACTTCTACATACTTTTCTGTTGGTGACTTAGTAGTATGGATTAGGTATGAGAGAAGTAACCTGCATCCAGTATTCCTACAGACTACTCCACCAAAAGAGGAAAAGGGAAAAAAGAAGGAAAAACTAAGACAGAAACAAAGAGAAGAGGAAGGAAAAGACTTCGCCCTCTTGAACAGGGAAAGGTAAATCCTAATATTCTCCATATCACTGGAGAGCGCCAGTGGTTATACATATCTAACTATGTTATCACTCTGTAGCTGAGGTGCCTGAAGCATCCATCTCTGGTGTTGGACACTTCCATTTACGTACAGGTTAGCAGTCTCCCCTCGCCTCTATCTCTCTCTTCCCGCCTCCGTGTTGAGGCACTTCTATGTAGGTGATGATAGCATGATACCACTCTATGAAGTCTAATAGCTATAAGGTCTACTACGAACTTGATCCTTTCCAGTAGTAACAATGAGATGCAGAACATGACTTAACGAATGTATATAATTAAACAACTCATACTGAGTAGAATTCCTTTTGACAATTTCTCCTGTGCCTGAAAGAATGTTTCCATCCTCATTTCCTTAAGCTCATATATATATGTATCAGAGACCTCGTGACCCAAACTATATTTGATTAGCCATCTCCGTTAGTTCTGTTTCTGCGAAACATGGTACCCTTCAACAGCCCAACACGAATCCGGGACAACCTTGGAGAGTATGAGAACATACAGAGGGAATCACTGCCAAACAGAGAAGGGCAAGAAGGAAGATAGAGAAACCTTCAGCAAGTTGACCTAAACACACAGCATGTTTAGTGATGACTCCCCAGGTGCACAGCTCTAAGTGTAACTGGAGTCATACGCTACCCCCCAGATGAGTGGATATACACAATCGTCATCTACAAAAGCATCACTCCCCTTCAGGATCTCTATACAGACTCGCAGTGTCTTGAAAGAACTGAAATCCTACTCGCCAGTGATCTACCTATCCTCGCCCGGTCAATGAACAAACAATCGGAGTGGTCTCCCACCTTTCAATAGGATCATTTTCTTTTATTAAGTGACCGATACTGCATTGCCAACATCAGTCCTGCAATTGTGGCCTCTTACCCCGAAGATGTCCTCCACAAGCCCTGTTCCTCCCTCGGGCTCCACAAACAGCGATCGAGCTGCAGATTCCAGTTCGAGCCCTACGAGCTCACCGTTATTGTTCTTTGTTGCGCTTGGTTTCGGGGTCGTCTTCACGAATCTATGGTATGTTCAGAGAGGCATTGTCTGCACTTCGTGCGCATCGATTCATATCTGAGGTTTGATGCTAGGATCATCGTTGGTGTCAAGTATTGCTTTCGATATAATCAACGGAATCGCCAGCTACGAAACGAAGAAACGGGGGAACCGATAGACCTGGTTACTATGCCCCGTACGCATAGACGAAGAAAGGAAAAGAAGTTGATGACTATGGACGAGGTTAATTTACGGTTTCCACTCACAAAGTACAAGGCATGGAGGTCGACGCGGACAAACGCCAACATTCCGACCGCAGAGGTGATATCCGCAGCCGACAGCAGTCTACACAGTCCAAACATCAAGAACGGCACTTTGGTTGTAGATACCAGTGTATCGCCATCCTTAGTGAAACCTGCATCGACGGATAGTCAACGGCAGATTGGGCCCACCATCGCACAAACTTCAACAGTCGCACCGGATGCTGGAACACAATTCGCTCAGTTAGACGAAAAGTCCGATGGTCGTCCAGTTCTTGCTGATTGCACTCACGCTCGAGACGTATCAAAGTACACCAACCATGAGATGAAACACATACATAATCAGGACAGTTGTGAATGCCATGGGTTGGAAGAAATCGGAGACGCCGATCATCCCATCCGGACTGCAACACCGGCCGAGCTTCTTCCCACTCCCGGAGACTCCTGTGCAATATGCCTTGACGCGATCGAGGATGACGATGACATACGTGGGTTGACATGCGGTCATGCTTTCCATGCATCCTGCGTTGACCCATGGTTGACAAGCCGGAGGGCCTGCTGTCCACTCTGCAAAGCAGATTACTTCACTCCTAAACCTCGCTCTGATCCGGTGGCGGAGCGTGCGAGTACGGATCGCCATAGTATGGCGGGAATGTATGCTCCTAACCGACCGCGGCCTGTCTTTATAGGATGGCGATCGAATCCATTTCGTCGAACAACGATATTGCCCCAGCGAGTCATGCAACGCGATGGAATCCCGCCATCGCAGCTGTCGGGTGCACTCAATGTCGATTCGTTCATGGCGCACAATACATCTGACACGAGGTCAGAAAACTCCAGACCTCAGCCCTGGGGATCAATGCGGTTGTTCCCTCGTCTTCGCAACTCTCTCCGACTTCCGTCCTCAAGTTGGCATCGTGCACCGAGGAATGCGGGTTCGGCCATAGGTGCTTCTCAGCCGAGTGACAGTCGGAGTACTGCAGATGTCGAAGCAGGCTTACGTTCTTAAAACGTAGCTAGTCATACCGCGTGCAGGTCCAATGGCTCCTCGACTCTACTTGATTGATGAATGTCTTTGCTTGAATCGTGGCGAGTCCCAAATTTCGCCCCAAAGTGGTCAATTGCACCCGGTATGATTTATTCCATGAGCGGATTCAAGAGTCACTCAGATATTCTCTCTGCCTTCTCTTGCAGGATCCCATATTCATTCTGTCCGCCCTGGATGGCGTCGATGAACTTCTCGTCTCAGGAGACTAGGCCCGTTCCAAGGGCCGCTGAGATTTGCTTCAGCGAGACAACTGCTCGCGTGCGAGGGATGATTTCTCCTTTACGCCTTCGTTCTTACCAAATAATGTTGGTAGTCTTCAATGTAGGTATAAGCAGGTCAGAGCCTGAGGATCTCGGAGAACCTGACCGTTTAGTTTCAGAAAAAGAAAAAGAAAAAAAACCGCCACAATAGATTTCAAAGCCACATCATATCAAAACATGACAGCACCACCCTGCGCGTTCAGATTTGTGTAGTGAACACTGACACAGCATCGCCATCAACCAAATACCTCACAGCAACCATCATAGGGTCAACTTCAAAGAGGTTCTTATCCCTGTGCTTTCGTGGGCCCAACCCCAGCGCTGATGACGCCCGGCAGGTCATCTTGCCCAACCCTGAACAACATTCCAATAGCACCGCCCAGTGCTATTATTACCATGATGCTAGCCGTTGCTAAAAGGAAAAAGGGAGAGCTGATATCTTGCTTTTCACAAGCGGCGCCGCCCCATCGGATAATTTGGGTCGTACCATCGTCTTTTCTGATGGTTGTTGCCTGGCATTTGCATACAAAACAGTCATTGTCAGTAAGTCCGCTCTTTGACTCCGATTTCCTGTAGCAAGACCCATGTCCTGAACAACCGCTGGTTGCTTCGTTACAAGATGAATTGGTGACATGGCAGGCTGGATTCGGAGACGTTGAACCGGGCGACTGCCTTCTCAACAACGACGGAGATGCCATGTCCATTTGTAAGGTTTTGGCTTGATGGTTACCACGACGGCTCGGGCTTTGCGGCATTCGGAAATCTTGGGAATCCGGCATGAATATAACAGTCACTGCTGTACCATTCAAAGACAGCGAATGAAGATCACTCATAAGAGATTTCAGCAAGCCAAGCAGTACTGTGTCATGTACTGATCCGGAGAAAGACTGCAATGTCTGTCAAATACAAGAGAACTGTTAGGTATAGACGAAGGAGTACCTTGAATGATAACCTCAAGATCAAGGGCTCTTGATCGTTAACCCATGATTCCATGATATTGACGTACTCAGGTAATTGCTGACCAAGTGCGTGCGCCACTGGCTTGAAAGCCGATGCGTTAGGTAGGCAAGATAAGAGTGTCTGGGGTAACTCGCAAGTCAGTCCGAATATCTTTTAATACAGCCCGCGCTAGCAATCGTCCGGTTTCGACTACCTGAACATTCTCCCGTTTCCTTTGCTCGCTGTCAAGGTACTTCAGGCAATGACCATCGGCTGTTCCAGCATCATCTTCCGTTTCGCCATCGATGTTCCACTTGAGGGGATTGTTATGCAAAAACGTAGCTCGAGAGTCACAATGGACTAGGCCTTGCTTGTATTCCTTTTGAATGGAAGATTCTACCGACATAATTATTGAAAAATGAGTGGCTGCTTCACAATATAAGCATATCTGGAAACACCTACCAATGACAGGGTCTAGCCCATGCAGAATGATCAAACTGGATCTCAAGTCTTGGTCGTCGTTTGAAATGCCGAACAACGATGGCTGTATTCCTCCATATCTATCCAAAATCTCGACAATATCTCGATCAACTGTCATGAGGTCCGTTGTGGTCGAGGACCTCATTCGATAATTCAGGAGTCGTTGGGCGGTATCATTTGATAGAAACGGAATCTCTGAGCCTCCTGCATTGGCGCTCGAATCTAGTGCGAAGATGGATGCATCTGGATTGATGATAGCCGATGTGAACGTCGCTGACAGAGCAAAGAAACCAAGATATTTGTGCATGTTGGTAGATAAACTTGGACAAAAGATCATGGGCTGATTCCTCCAGTCCAGTCCGCTACCTAGATCGGCCTACTCCGTATTTTGGCAGGTACATCCAGCTAGCAGCACGACTTAGGTAATCCATGTGACGAGATAAGTTAATCACGTGTATCAATGATAGACACATGGAGGTTGAATATTGGAATTATCTCCGATTCCCGACCAGAGCTCCCGCGGCTGACATTAGCAATTTCTCGCTCTAATTGACCTAGCAGTCTGTGTAAACCCTCAGTATCTATCGATTTGTTTTCCTTTATATTCTCCTTCACCTCTTAACCCCACCTTCCACTCCTCTATTTCTTTCTTGAGGGACATATATTTGGCAAAAAGCTTCATGACGTTTCTGTCAAAATCGAAGACCACGATCAGTTGCCATCCCTATCCTTGAGTATGATCTTCGGCTTAGAGAGACCACCTCAAAGCTATACCAGATGTTCCGAATGAGGCAACGGCTCTTTCTTTTTCAAATACCCTTTCGTGCCAGTCATTCTTTTTCCCAGAGCGATGCCAACAACGTAAATGTTCGCCATGTGAGATCCAAACGACCTTGGTTTAAGTGTGTAGTCCGCCACCCCTTTGCGCTGCCTTGCACGGCATACAACTTGTTTTTTGCTCAAATTGACCCGAGTCGCCAGAAAATTTGTTACTACATGTCTGATATATGGGACCGCATTTCATATATGGGGTTCTTTTGTCCTCGGGGAATACGATAAGATGCTTGAAACCGCATCAGATGAGGCTCTTCCTGAGAAAGGCTTTCCAGAAAAGAATGTTATGGCCATTGAACGAACTGTGCGCCGTCCGGAGGAGGCTGCGGCCTCGGATCCTTTTTTCATTCCTCTGGGTTGGCCGCGCCTGCGCGAAGGCAAGTTCTATTCCTCGTCGGACCCGGAGTGGAGAGAGTTCGTTCGTATCTCTCGGGATGGCAGGAAGCTCGAATCGCTGAAAGGTATCCTCCAGCTAATATAATAACCTTTCTGAAGCAATGCTTACTCGCCCAGATGACCTAGCAACCATAGCTCTGCGCAATGCCTCCGCATCAAACATACTTCTTCAACTTCTTGGTGGACCGCTGACCATAACTGGTTTCTGGCTCGTTCACCACTTCCCGTCTCGTGCCCCACCTGAATATGCATTGCCAGGGTAGGTCATATCAAAGACAGCGTCTTGCCATATACTAATATGATCATTATTGTCAGGTTAGAAATAGATGATACTGAAATTTCGTGGGCTGTGAGACCGGTGTCCTCAGATACCGGTGATTGCATCCGAAAATGCATGAAGCCTCTCTTTGTGGCACTTGCTGCAAGAGACGCATATATTGTCTTAATGAAAAGACAACTTTCACGCATGGGTTTCCAGGTGTCTGATAAAATCCAATTCGGTACTGATTCACTGGTCATGCCACCATTCGGGACCGTGTTTACAGGGCTCATTGATGGGTCCGCTGGTTATCACAAAACAGGGTCTCAACTATCTTTCGCGGATGAGCCCCACGGGAGAGTAACACAGCAAAACCACCCATGGCTGAGTCCCTCGTCAGTACTATCCTCCCTTCAATGGTTACCACTGCCGAAATTAGGTCCCGAGTCGGATTTGCGCGCAGCTGCAGTAGCTTTTAAATGGCGTTTAAATGATTGCTGGGCTCGCGAGTTGCGCACTCCCCGCCGCGGCACCTTCTTTATCGTCGGTCCAGTTGGTGTTAAAGGCCCCAAAGGATTCTGTAGGATTGAGGTTCGGGGCGAATACGATCCGTTGACTTCTCGATGGACGCATGTCTCTATGCAACTCAAAGACTTGAATGTATTCAAGCAGAGAGCTCTTGGTAGCCGATGAACAGTGTCTGAAAACTTGTCACTCTAGCCAAGACGCTCATAAAATTACTTGAGCTGTTAAGCATGGACTGAGAGTGGTCACGCCGGCCAATCACATTCAGAGGTGCAGAAAATGACTCTTGTGACCCAAGGTGTTTATGATATACCTAACCTTCCAGATGATTAAGGGTCCTCTTTCTTGGAAGCGGGGGGAAGCGTAATATAAGGACAACAAGGGCCTTCGAGGATTGGTGTCAAGCACACAGCTTGAGCCCAAGTATTATAGGAGAACTTGGGAGCACAGATGTTAGACAGATACAGAGTAGTACAAGCAGCTGGTTCCGTAGGGCTTGCAAGGGTCCTGATAATGCTGGATATAGATATTCCAGCAACAAATTCCCATGACATCTTTCGCATTCTCAGGCTGTCAGTTACATGCATGCGAACACAATGACGGTGTTAATTATTCACAGTTCTCCTTGCTTCGAGGAGGTGTAATGTTCAGAACTAAGCCCTTCGCCAAGTTTTAGCCCTATACCCGGCAGCATCGTTTCTAAAAACCTAACAGCCGCCATAGCTTTGACGATCGAGTTCGAGACATAAGGGTTTAATTACCGCAATTTAGGTTATACGCGAATCGAATATGCGAGCGCACACGAGAGCACCCGCAACAGAGACGGGAGCATACCTGCCATTCTTCACTTGAATGAGCAGAAAGTGTGTGTGAAGAAACAAGTCGGATATTTGGGGGAATCGAAAGCCGAATATGTCGCTGGTAGTATGAGGTTGCTCATGGGGCAAGGGTTATTCATTATGCCAGAGCCATCTGCAAAGGTCTAGTGCGGCAACATATAGACTGATCGTGCGATTGATATCCATTTCTCCAACCGTAGATGTAAAGGTAAAGAAACTCCAGCTATATTCCATAAGCTCGAAAGGTCTGACATCATGATCTAGGTGATTGGCAAGCCCGGAATCAGCAGCAAATTCGGGACTACCCAGAGGGAGCAGTGATCGCCCAGAAACGTAGCTGAAATTTCTTGCAATCACACGAAGTCAAGCCGCGCGTCACAGGCATCCTACCCAGACGTAAAAGGACAAGGAGAAAAAGAAAAAGAAAAGCAAAGGTTTCAGCGTACGTTGGTATCAATAGTCTCACTCATGTGCAACAGCCAGAGCGGTTCTTCATTTCCACGGCTCGAACGGTGTATAATCATTGTTGCCCTGCCCTGGAAAACCCTCCCTTGTTGTAATACCCATAACTTAGATGGGACTGTGCGCCCGTCAGTGCTTAAAGTGAAATCAATTGGGCTCGCAATATGTATCTATCGATTACCATAGTTACTGGGAAACCGGAGGTTGATAATTCAGGGGCCGCCTAAAAAGCCATCAGTTCATCGTAGAATACTTCATACATCATCAAGTGCTTACTTGAAAAGGAGGATATGTGGCTCAGGCTCATGGACCTCGTAATGTTCCCACCCCAGACTCTAGAGAATCAAGATTAGCCACAGGCAGGCAGAAAGCGAGTTTCGCAGTCCACTTCGTAGTACCTGAGTGATACCGAGTGCCCTCCATTCTTCCTCCCATAGCAATTTCAGCGTTCCTTTTGAGCTATCGAAATAGTCGGCGGGAATCTTCTTCAGCATGTTTTTGGGAAGCTGAACATGTCGGTACTCAAACTGGTCATCGGAATATCTGTGCCTGTCAATTCAGCCCTTGTGTACGTTAGTCAGATGCTCGTACCTCGCTGAGTAGTGTATAGAGTCAATGAATTCCTCAAGCCTCTCTCTTTCAGATTCCAACAGAAGGCGGGGCTTTTTGTTCCTCCTGCTTAGATCGATATCCATCTGGAGAAGTGCGGGGTTTGTATCGTTTCGATTGGGATTTCAGAATATCTGCCTGACCGTCATTTAGCACCTTGCTCGGGATCTGTCTTTGTTTCCAGAGATGCCATATGCCATAGAGTTACTGAGTGAAGATTCTGATGAGGCGCGCAGGGGACACGTACAAAATCTCGTCTTCTAAACTTTGATTGGAGCGAGCTTGATAGAGCTCGTGCGCTGATAATAATTGTAGCGAGAGTTGACTCTTAATTTCCAGTAGTGACTGTGGTCAAGAGGCTGCTATTAGGTTTCAGAACCACAGGTGGTATGGATCTGGCAAATGTGTTTATAGTTAATATATTATTACTGAACAGGTTAAAGAAAATTCCAGTTAAGATAACGGAGGACAATAACTTGGTTGCTTGGTGTGGGACCACTTCGCAAATTGTCTAGGTACGTACTTTAGGTACCTTAGGTACTCAGCTCTGAGAGGTACCCTTCTGATAGTAAGCACTTGCTATTGTGCGTCAGCATTGAAGTGTGGGACGTGACTTAAGAAGACTACAGAACTGCAAATTATTTACATCCTCTCTGACAGGAATCTCTGTATCTTCCTGAGTAGTACGCATCTAAGGCTAGTGGATGTGGAGGCCCAGATAGTAGATAGTTATTAACATCTTGAAAAACCATGCCACTCTCTGAAAGATTCAGCTCTACTTAAGATCCCGCAAAAAATAAAAGAGACGGAATATTTTCTATCATCAGCTTTTATTATTCCAATCGAGCCTATCTCTCATCGTAAAGTGTAGGACTTGGTCATGCCTTGGTAACCTCCGAGGGGTGCTAGGTATAATGGTATCGTGCTCTAGAAGTGTTAACCACTGCTATGGTACAATATACACGACATGAAAGTAGTGATTGATATACTACTTATGTAGGTAGCTAACAGCCAAGACTTTATAGTACGACTTTTAGGAGCAGTGTCAATACCATCCGTCCTAAGTACGATGCCTAAGTTGATTCCTATCAATTATCTCTCTTTCTCATTAGGGAAGACGTCCATACACTGCAGATATCTCCTTTTCTTTGTATAAGCTACCTAAGTATCCTCACACACTGTGTATTATACTTGTATCCGTGTCTTTTAAGGCACCGCCCTATCTATAATGATCTTGATTGCATAATATAAGAATGCCTTTCCATTACACTTGCACAGAGTCTTATACTCCAATCTTCGAGCAAGAGGTTTTGGTAGGAGGTAAGACAGGTTGGGTAGTAATTTGGATGGTCACAAGTTGAAGAGGACATCGGAAAAAACGAACTAGACCATATTCGGGACCAGATGAATCTTTAAGTAGACATTGAATCTATTCGTACTACAGAGTATGTATTAGAACAATAGCTCAGATCTCAATAAGTATTTGCCATGCTACTAGACAAATGACTGAAGAACTTTTATAGTCTCAGTAACGGTTGAGATTACCATAACCATGGCCGTTGACATTGGAATCCTCTTCTCTAACCATGGGGCTGAATTGAAAAAAAAAAAAAAAAAGTCAGCGGGAGGCGAAGAAAAAAAGAAAATGGAAAAAAAAAGTGTGAAAAAAAAGGCGAAGTGGGTTCGGACTTAAAAGATCAACCGCTCCCACACTGACCCTTCGTTCAATTTTCTTGTCCTCTTTCTCCCCCAACTCTTCCCACCTCCTTTCAGGTGCTCTCACTTTATATTCTGCATTTTCCTTCACTCTTTCTTTGTTGATATTCAGTGCGAATTGAAAGCAATATGTCGGACGAAGTCTACGAAGGCGCCATCGGCATTGACCTTGGTAAGGAATCTGATTTGTTTTTTTCTAAACAAAAGCCATCACATATACCATAACACGCTCTTCACGAAGAAATTGAGTTTTGCTAAGACATCCATCCAGGCACAACCTACTCCTGCGTCGCCAACTATGAAGGCACCAACGTTGAGATCAGTATGTTTTTCGAAGGCATCAGATTCGGCAGGAATAGGCCCTGACTTGGACTCATCCTACAGTTGCCAACGAGCAGGGTAGCTACACAACCCCGTCATTCGTTTCTTTCACCGAGAAAGAGCGCTTGATTGGCGAGGCAGCCAAGAACCAGGCGGCAATGAATCCAACGAACACCATTTTCGACATCAAGTGAGTGAGGACTAAAGCAAGTCTCTTGCCATGTCTACCTCTCCCATTTAAGCTCTCTTATTGACAAACCTAGGCGTCTCATTGGTCGGCGTTATGAAGATCCCATCGTGAAGAAGGATATCGAGTCGTGGCCTTTCAAGGTCGTTGACCAGGGCGGAAACCCCGTTGTCGAGGTTGAATATCTGGGTGAAACCAAGACATTCTCTCCCCAGGAAATCTCTTCTATGGTCTTGATGAAGGTATATCGCGAACTACCTGGTATATTCTTTATCGTGCATGGTTGACCTGTTTCGATTCGATAGATGAAAGAAGTCGCAGAGACCAAGCTTGGAAAGAAGGTTGAGAAGGCTGTCATCACTGTGCCAGCTTATTTCAACGATAATCAACGTCAGGCGACGAAGGATGCTGGTGCCATTGCCGGGTTGAATGTTCTCCGCATCATCAATGAGCCCACTGCCGCCGCTATCGCCTATGGACTCGGCTCCGGAAAATCCGAAAAGGAGCGTAATGTCCTGATCTATGATCTTGGTGGAGGTACTTTTGATGTGTCTCTTCTCAACATCCAAGGAGGTGTTTTCACTGTTAAGGCCACAGCCGGCGATACTCATCTCGGTGGACAAGATTTTGACACCAACCTCCTTGAACACTTCAAGAAGGAATTCCAGAAGAAGACTGGAAAGGATCTCTCAGGCGATGCCAGAGCTCTTCGCCGTTTGAGGACGGCCTGCGAGCGCGCCAAGCGTACACTGTCTAACGCTACACAGACAACTGTTGAGATTGACTCTCTGTTCGATGGAGAGGATTTCAACTCGTCTATCACTCGTGCCCGCTTTGAGGATCTCAACGCTAAGTCTTTCTCTGGCACTCTCGAGCCAGTACAGCAAGTTCTCAAGGACTCTGGCCTTGAGAAGAGCCAAGTCGATGAGATTGTGCTCGTCGGTGGCTCCACTCGTATCCCTCGGATCCAGAAGCTGCTCAGTGACTTTTTCGACGGCAAGAAGCTTGAGAAGGTCAGTTGGCATTAATCCTTCAACGTCGCCGGTCATGTCCTCAAGCTAACGTTGGCGTAGAGTATTAACCCAGATGAGGCTGTAGCTTATGGTGCCGCTGTGCAAGCTGGCATTCTTTCTGGTAAGGCCACCTCGGCTGAAACTCAGGACTTGCTCCTTCTGGATGTCGTTCCCCTTTCCCTTGGTGTTGCCATGGAAGGCAATATTTTCGCCCCGGTTGTTCCCCGCGGTCAAACTGTTCCCACCATCAAGAAGCGCACCTTTACGACTGTTGTAGACAACCAGACGACCGTTCAGTTCCCTGTTTATCAGGGTGAGCGCACAAACTGTGCAGACAACACTTCCCTGGGCGAGTTTACTCTCGCTCCTATCCCTCCCATGAAGGCTGGCGAGGCCGCTCTTGAAGTTGTTTTCGAGGTCGATGTCAATGGTATCCTTAAGGTCACCGCTACGGAGAAGTCTTCTGGCCGTACCGCCAACATTACTATCTCCAACGCTGTCGGCAAGCTCTCCACCACGGAAATTGAGCAGATGATTGATGGTGCGTCTACTACGTTGTCTCACTGTGTTCTTCTAAGGAAATAAACCTAACGCTGTTATAGACGCCGCCAAGTTCAAGTCGAGCGACGAGGCCTTTACCAAGAAATTCGAGTCTCGTCAGCAGCTCGAATCTTATATTTCTCGCGTTGAAGAGATCATCTCAGACCCCACCATGTCTCTGAAACTCAAGCGCGGCAACAAGGAAAAGATCGAGTCTGCCCTGAGTGACGCTATGGCTCAACTTGAGATTGAAGACTCTGCCCCTGAGGATTTCAAGAAGAAGGAACTCGCCCTCAAGAGACTCATCACCAAAGCTATGGCCACCCGGTAATCTGAATGCTACGAACTTTCTTGAGTTTTTATCACTTAGTCACTCCACGTCTCATTCTCTACCTTAGTATTACCGTACCCTGCGGATGTGTATTTGCTTGCGATCTGGAGTGATTGAAATTTGTCTCTAGGGCTTGTTACAACCTTTCCCAACGATCCATGTACGGACATGTCGGAAATGTGCTCTATTTCTCCTCCGGTCTCTTTCTGTCCCTTTTCATGTCTTGTTTCCCTTGATTTGGTTCACATTATCTAAAAGTTCATTCTAGATTAGACGAAATCCGTCGGGGGAGAAATTAATGATTTGATGAGCCTCGTACATTCTATCTTTTACTTTTTGGCCCAGACATATGGTAGACGTCATAGTGATTTAAAAGCTATGACTCGCGACGTGGGCGACGTTAAGGCAAGGAAATTTACTCCCCTTTATACAAACCATATATATACTCCTCTGCTATTCATTCAGTAAACTGAAATAATGCTCCACATTCACCCATTAAAGGCCTGTTAAGTCGATTTCTCGGAAAAATTGCTCTGTGCTTAGAAGATTCGTATTCTGATTGGTCTTGTGCTACGCAGTAGTGTTTAATGGATGCATGGCTGTTTTTGATTCCTAATAACCCCAACTTTTTCGGTACAAATAATACTTCAATAGCTAGCTCATCATCTATGCAAATTCTAGAAAATGCAGCGGATACAACGACTCTCAATTCTTTCTGACATTCCTCGATCTTTTTATTCTGCGAATTCCAGCCCAATGGTGCTTGACGCAGGTCAA